CCACTATACTATTGGCTAGGAGCTTAAAACTCCTATCCCAGTACAAGAAATTTTAGTTGAAAGGGGGGAGGGGGGGGGAAGAGAAAAAGAAACCAAGCTCATTGGAATATCACTTTTACTCAACATACACATATTGTAAGTCCAATTGATGCATCGATATGTACACAAGCAATTGAGGTTAAGCAATAGATAGAATCTTTAATAAAGTGAATAAGAAGAAAATATTGGAATTATATGAAAAATCCCACGAATCACCTCCAAAGGTTAGGCAATATCCATTAGAAAGCATGCTTTGAAAGCTTTACACACCTTAAAAAAGGGAGAAGGAGAAACAATAAAAAAGAACCTATGAAAAGGGAATCACCCCAAGTGTCAGTTATCAATTGTGTACAGTACTTGTAAAATAGAACCTAAAAATCATTGCAGTTACAATACATGAATGGGCAATACATGCACCTTTTATCGCCAAAAGAAAATATTAGTAATTAAAACTATGCACGAGGCAGTAAGTAACGTAGACTAAACTTGGCTGTTCAATAAAAATATCAAACAAAGATCACCTGATTATCAAAAACAACAGTGTTCTGGCTGTTGTACCAGTACCAGCGCAGCTTGTTCACATGTTTCAATAGATTCTGATTCTTCGGAAGTGATCCTCCAGCTGGAAGCTTTGAGAGCTTGATATATGATCCTTTTCGACTCTGCAGTAAAAGCAAAGAACATGCACACACAATTACATTGCTTATGCTAGTGCAAGTGCAAGTAGTACTGTTTGGTTGATAAGTGTTCAAACAGTTGAAACTTAATGTTAAGATTCATATGCACCACAATGAAAAGTTATTATTTTTTTACATGAGGATTAACATAGTTCAAATTGGAGAATAATTGCAACTCAAAATCATAATAAGATCACTCCTAATCAGAGAAGATCAAAAATGGTGCTTTACACAGTAGTGATGGAGGACAAAACTTCTATTATTATTTGAATGATCGACTCTTAGATAACCAATATTTTATTTTATTTTTTATAAATAATCAAATATTTTATTAATCAGAATGCAATGCACAGGAAGTTGTACTATATACTTAAATAAGAAATAAACGTCATAAAATTGGGTAGTCTATCCATGTGACTAGAAGTTGTAACATTAAACCAATTTTACAATGTCAAATAAAATAATTCTCTAAATTGTTCTATAGTTTTTATCTGATCATCAAAACAGCACCTGTTTCTTTCTCTCCACAGGCACCAAACAATGTCTCAAACAAGTTTACTGTTCTTATCATGAAACTTTCTCCTCCATGCCTTCAACATATCTTCCATACGTCTTGGCATCACCCAATCCACATGTTGAGAAGCCAAAATATCATTCCACAGCAAACGAGCACCATCACAATGGAGAAAAAATGGTCAATCGTCTCCCCATCCCTTCTGCACATATGACACTAATCTGTAATATAAAACCTGCTCAATCGAAGATTATCCGCAGTTAACATTTGTCCCCTCATTACCGTCCATAGTAAAAACGCAACACTTGGAGGCAATTTACACTTCCAAACCATCTTCTAGGGGAATGAATTCTTCACAGATCCTAATAACGATCTAATATAAGTGCTAACTGAGAAAATGCCATCCTTTGCTAGCGTCCACCTGATGCGGTCACTCTCTCAATATGCACTTTATACAAAGAGGTCAATAACAACGCATAATCATCAACTTCCCAATCTTGTAATCCCCTCCCAAAAACAACGTTCCAGCTGATGCTTCCAGTGTATCTAATACAGCATTCACCATAGCAAATGGCATCACGACAATACGATACAGAGAAGGAAATCTCTCCCTTAGTGGTTGATCTCTACACCAACAATCATTCCAGAAGCTGATAGTATTGCCATTCCCCACTCCAAAGGTAACTATCTCGAAAGTCACTCCACCCTCGTCGGATATACCGCCACAAACTCACCCCATAGGTACCACGAGCCTCAACTGAACACCATCCACCCTCCATAATGCCATATTTCTCTCCTATAAGTTCTCTCCGAAAACTCTCCCTCTCCACCCTAAATCGCCATAAACACTTACCCAACAAGGCCTTATTAAACAATACAAGACTCCTCAATCCGAGTCCTCCGACCCTTATGGGAGAACAAACTGCACCACAATTGACCAAATGAAATTTCCTCCTCCTAACCCTCCCCAAAGAAACTCCCTTTGGATCCTCTCTAGTCTCTTAGCCACTGTAACAGGAAAGGAAAATAGTGACAATAAATAAGTGGGGAGATTTGAGAGTATAGACTTGATAAGAGTAAGACAACCTCCCTTTGAGAGGTACATACGCTTCCAACCCGCTAACCTCCTCTCCACCATTTCCACAATACTGTCCCAGATGTGTGTACTTTTGAACATTGCTCCTAGTGGAAGCCCAAGGTATGTCATAGGCAACTGCGCAACCATATAGCCTAATGTAGCAGCCAACCCCTCCAAGATAAACGTCATAAAATTGGGTAGTCTATCCATGTGACTAGAAGTTGTAACATTAAACCAATTTTACAATGTCAAATAAAATAATTCTCTAAATTGTTCTATAGTTTTTATCTGATCATCAAAACAGCACCTGTTTCTTTCTCTCCACAGGCACCAAACAATGTCTCAAACAAGTTTACTGTTCTTATCATGAAACTTTCTCCTCCATGCCTTCAACATATCTTCCATACGTCTTGGCATCACCCAATCCACATGTTGAGAAGCCAAAATATCATTCCACAGCAAACGAGCACCATCACAATGGAGAAAAAATGGTCAATCGTCTCCCCATCCCTTCTGCACATATGACACTAATCTGTAATATAAAACCTGCTCAATCGAAGATTATCCGCAATTAACATTTGTCCCCTCATTACCGTCCATAGTAAAAACGCAACACTTGGAGGCAATTTACACTTCCAAACCATCTTCTAGGGGAATGAATTCTTCACAGATCCTAATAACGATCTAATATAAGTGCTAACTGAGAAAATGCCATCCTTTGCTAGCGTCCACCTGATGCGGTCACTCTCTCAATATGCACTTTATACAAAGAGGTCAATAACAACGCATAATCATCAACTTCCCAATCTTGTAATCCCCTCCCAAAAACAACGTTCCAGCTGATGCTTCCAGTGTATCTAATACAGCATTCACCATAGCAAATGGCATCACGACAATACGATACAGAGAAGGAAATCTCTCCCTTAGTGGTTGATCTCTACACCAACAATCATTCCAGAAGCTGATAGTATTGCCATTCCCCACTCCAAAGGTAACTATCTCGAAAGTCACTCCACCCTCGTCGGATATACCGCCACAAACTCACCCCATAGGTACCACGAGCCTCAACTGAACACCATCCACCCTCCATAATGCCATATTTCTCTCCTATAATTTCTCTCCGAAAACTCTCCCTCTCCACCCTAAATCGCCATAAACACTTACCCAACAAGGCCTTATTAAACAATACAAGACTCCTCAATCCGAGTCCTCCGACCCTTATGGGAGAACAAACTGCACCACAATTGACCAAATGAAATTTCCTCCTCCTAACCCTCCCCAAAAAAACTCCCTTTGGATCCTCTCTAGTCTTTTAGCCACTGTAACAGGAAAGGAAAATAGTGACAATAAATAAGTGGGGAGATTTGAGAGTATAGACTTGATAAGAGTAAGACAACCTCCCTTTGAGAGGTACATACGCTTCCAACCCGCTAACCTCCTCTCCACCATTTCCACAGTACTGTCCCAGATGTGTGTACTTTTGAACATTGCTCCTAGTGGAAGCCCAAGGTATGTCATAGGCAATTGCGCAACCATATAGCCCAATGTAGCAGCCAACCCCTCCAAGTTATCGACCTCTCCAACAGTGATAGCCTCAGAGTTTCCCAGGTTTATCTTCATTCTAGATACGACTTCGAAGCACAGAAGCAAACGATGCAAGTTCCTGAAGTGCTCAACATCTGCATCACAGAAGATCAGACTATCATTTACAAATAACAAATGAGATATCTGCAATTGACTAATCCTAAAGCCCTTTAACAAACTCTCCCCCACACCCTTCTCAAGTATTTTACTGAATGCCTCCATTACAATAACAAGCAGAAATAAAGACAAAGGATCCCCTTGCCTCAAACCTCTACTACTCTGGGAATGACCTTCCAGAGTGCCGTTTACCTAAACTGAAAAAGAGACAGTAGAAATACAAAATTGAATCCACTGACACCACTTGGCCTCGAAGCCACATCGCCTGAGCATATACAATGGGAATCCCCAGTTCACATGATCATAGGCCTTTTGAATATCAAGCTTACATAGCATCCCTGGGACCCCTTGATGTAGTCTTGAATCAATGCATTCATTTACTATGAGAACGGAATCCCAGATCTGGTGCCCTTTGACAAAAACATTCTGAACGTTAAGACACCACTTTTTCCAACACCTTTAATCTATTAGCCAAAACCTTTGCAATAATCTTATACACCCCACTTACTAGACTGAGAGGTCGAAAGTCCTTAATGTCTTCGCACTTGGTTTTTTTAGGATCAGCACAATAAATGTGGTTTTAGAGCTTCTCAAGAACCTACTACACTGGAAAAAAATAAGCAAAAACATCCACAATGTCCGATCATACCATATCCCAACAAGCCTTATAGAATGCGAAGGAAAATCCGTCCGGACCTGGGGCCTTGTCGTCATTTATACTGAACAGCACCTCCCTAATCTCGTCCTCCCCAAATGGTCTTTCAAACCAACTGACATCCTCCTCAGAAATAGTGGAAAACTCCAGCCCCTCAAGCTCTGGCCTCCAATCAAACTACTCCTTATAAAGATTTTGATAAAGACTCACCATTTGGGTACCAATATCCTGTGGGTCCTCATAAGTTACCCCATCCACCTCCAGCATTGAGATATGATTGTTGCACCTGTTGGAATTAGTGATCCTATAAAAAAACTGTGTACATGTATCTCCCTCTCTCAACTACTTGACCCTAAATTTCTGGCACCTAGCAATCTTCTCCATCTCCACCAACCTCTCCAACTCTTCTCTTAATTCTCGACATCTCTCCCTCCCGTCCCCTCCCAATCCTCGGCTTTCCTCCTTCCTATCCAACTCTTCTATTTCTAAGATGCATTGATTTTTATGCCAGTTAACATCCCTCACCACCTCCTCATTCCACCTCTTGAGATCCCCTTTTAATGCCTTCAATTTCTGATCTAACACATAACTGGAGAACCCCTGAACTTGTAAGAGGCCCACCAAGTTCGTACTCGCTCCTAAAACCTTCCACTTTAAGCCACATCTATTCAAACCTAAAAGGCCTTCTCTTGCTATACCCCACATCCCCAAATAACGAAATAGGGAAATGATCTGAATACACCCTCCCCAGTGTCCTCTGAGCGACGTCCGCGTACTTAGCCTCCCACTCCACACTAATCAAGAACGAATCTATTCTAGAATGAACAAGTTGCTCCCGATTAGACGACCAAGTAGAATCCCCCCCCAATCAAAGACATATCCACCAACTTATTCTTCCTGATAAAATTTGAAAAGTCCTCCATAGCCCATGTTAGTCTCCCGCCACTAGACCTTTCAGTAGGAAAGCGGACCACATTAAAATCACCCCCTATGCACGTTGGGAGGTTCCACCAAGCCATCATACCTGTCAATTCATC